TCGCGGAGCCGCGCCGCGTACAAGCGGCGGAACCTGCAGCAGTGCCGGCCGGACTCGGAGCTGCGGATGGTGGCGTGCGTGTATACGGCCCGCAATGTCCCCTCCATCATCAGCTTTCTCCAGATGTCCAACCCCACCAAGCGCTCCCCGGTCTTCGTCTACGTCGTCCACCTCTTGGAGCTCACTGGCCGTGGCGCTGCGATGATGATCGTCCACCAGGCCAGCTCAAAGCACGCCCAGGAGAAGGTCGGGTCCAAATCATCGGGATGCGCCCTGCAGGCGGATCATATCATAGCACCCTTCCAGAGCTACGAGCAGCAGGCCGGTGGCGTCTCCGTCCAGTGGGTCACCGCGGTCTCCCCTTACTCCACTATGCACGAGGACATCTTCAACATCGCCGAGGACCGCCACACCACCATCATCGTCCTCCCCTTCCACAGGCTGCAATCGGTGGCCGGGGACTTCGAGGAGGCCGACCCGGCCATCCGCAGCGTCAACATGAACGTCCTGGCCCACTCGCCTTGCACCGTGTGCATCCTCGTCGACCGCGGGATTAGCGGGGTCGGAAGGTCCTCCACGGGTCAGCTCGCGCAGCACCACGTGGCGGTCCTCTTCTTCGGCGGGCCCGACGACCGCGAGGCGCTGACGTACTCGTCGCGGATGGCGGAGCATCCCGGTGTCATCCTCACCGTTATCCGGTTCCTGCCGGGAGAGGAGGCCATGGTGCCGCCGAGCCCCGCTCCCTCATGCGCGTCCGGCGAGAGGGCGGCCATGACCGCGGTAGCGGAGGCCAACATGCAGCGGCAGCTGGACGACGAGTGCACGAACCTGTTCCGGCTCAGGCACGTGACCAACGACTCGGTCACGTACACCGAGATGGTCATCAACAACATAGAGGAGACGGTGACGGCGGTCCGCGCGATGAACGGAGTCCACAGCATGTACGTGGTGGGGAGAGGGAAAGGGATGGAGTCTTCGCCGCTGCTCGCCGGGTTGACGCTGTGGAGCGAGTACCCAGAACTGGGGCCGATCGGGGACATGCTTGTGTCGGCCGACTTCGGGACGCAGGCGTCGGTGCTGGTGGTGCAGCAGTACGTGAGCGGGGAGGCCGTGGTCGCAATGGAGTCGACGGCGGAGCAGGAGAGCCCGAAACCAGATCCGGTGCAGCGGTATTTGAGCAGCGCCAACGACAAGGCGGGACAGCGACGCCTCAACGACGTATGGATGCCCGGCGTTTGATCTCAGGCGGCGGCGTCAATTTTGGCAGGCAGACCTCTTCTTCTTACTCGGGTCTTCCATGCATCAATTCACCCTTTTCATTCGTTAGATTTCTTGTCTCCATCTTTCTTGTTCATGAATGCTTTGCTTAGACGTGGAAATACTTGGATCGCTTAAACCGCAACTTGCCACAATTATGAAGAACTCGGAATCGAGAAATTATCAGATAAATTATATGCCCAAATGATTTAATGTGAAAGGTTATGAGTGTAACCTCATGGTGACTGACGCCCACCGATAATCCACGTGGAATGGATCTTAACTACGTGGAACATTTCCACCTCGGATTGCTAATGGTTGCCACATCTACTTGTTGCATCATCATCTTCCTATGTTGGTGTCACTGATCACCCCACCTTATCCTGCCAGCTATTACTTTAATTTTCGACCAACTATTGGGTTAGCCTTCCGAAAACATAAGCCAAAAATCTAAAATAACAAAAAAACAATGCTAATAGGGCCACCAGAATATAGAATATGTCATACACTTTGTTCGAAGTTGATCATGGGGGCTTTCATGCATGTCTGCTCTGGTAGAACATGTAGGCGGCAAATGAACAGTTCGATGGCCTGCTCTATCCAGCTTAGTTTGGATCATGCATGAAATGAGCAACAGTCCACTGCTGTCAGCAATAATTTAGTTGGCAGCATATGAGAGCAAGAAACAACACACCAACTCATGTTGGAGACCCGTACGTGCGATGCAAACTCACAACAGAGTAGCTCTTATTGATACAGCAGCTTATGTGTACAAAAAGTATACAGAGATAGAGTGAATGGGATTCCATCGATTGCAGGCCTGCATCGTCTGAGGATGCAGTAAATCTAGTGCGGTAATATGTTCTCTAGTCCATGGCATTGGGGCCTCTGCAAGCCTTCACGATAGGGCTCCACACCCACTGCACCAAGAACTTCCTCCCGTTTCTCCCATTGAGGTTGTAGCTTCTCCCCAGCTCGTCCTTGCTCACCTGCCCGGTGTACCCGCCTCCGCCGCCGGTGCCGTAGACACCCTCGCAGAGGTCGGCGATCTCGGTCGGCGCCGTCGGGTCCTCCCCGGCGTACCAGGCGTTCACCAGGGGGTTGGTGGAGAGCTCGGCGAGCTCGTGCGCCAGCACGCTGACCATGCCGTCCACCCCGACGTCCCCGTTGGGCGGGCGCATGGCCCCGACGCCGGTCATGTAGGTGGGCACGGCGAAGGGGTAGGCGCACACGTCGGGGCACTGCACGCCGCTGTGGCCGACCCAGGCGTAGGGGAGGGTGTGGCCGACCAGGGAAGGGAAGGTGAAGTAGTGGAAGCCGCAGGCGGCGCGGCAGAAGTCCTGGACGGCGACCCCGGGGGATGTCAGGACGAGGTAGGCGCCGCGGCCGTGGTCGACGGGGAGAGAGCCGGAAGCGAGGGCGTCGGCGATGACGAGCTGCACGCCGAGGCGGGTGAGGGAGGCGCCGCGGGGGAGGCCCCGGAGGTGGGCCTCGGCCGCGACGGAGACGCGGCGGGAGACGTTGGCGCCGGTCTGGTCGGAGTAGAGCGCGACGGTGGACCACCACTGCGCGGCGGAGGGCGGCGGCGGGGAGGGGTCGGAGAGGGAGAGCAAGAAGTCGCGGAGTGTGGCCCGGTGGGCGGCGGGCCAGGGGCCATACCAGATGAGATAGAGGTTGATGGGGGAGGAGAGGACGGGGCCCATGTGGTAGCGCAGGTGGACGAGGTCGGACGACCCTTCGTAGCGCTTGGACGACGACAGCAGCGCGCCGGAGCCTGCTCCCTGTGCTGATCTCATCCTTGCCGCCTGAAAATCGGCTGTTGCTGCTTTGATTTTGCTGCCACGAGGAAAAGGTGATGCAGCAAGAAGAAGAGTGGGAAGGAGGAGGAGAAGGAAGGAGAGCTTAGATATCATCTTCAATGGTCTATGGAGCTCTCGCTGCTACGGTGGTAGAGAGAAGTCGGGAAGGTGTCTACATATATATGTATTTAGAGAGCGAGAGAGAGAGGTAGCAGAGGAGAAGGAAGAAGACATGGAGTGAGAGAGAGGTAGCAGAGGAGAAGGAAGAAGACATGGAGTGAGAGGGAGAGATGGAGAAAGGTGTGGGCTGGCAATGGAGGGGAGAGCTGGAGACAGCTGCGGTGGGGGCACCGAGCAATTCAAATCCCTCGCTTTAGAGCAGGAATAAATGCCGTCGAAGAATGGACGGCGTCCTCAAAAGTTCGTGCACAGGAGACGGCATTACTACTCCCCGCGTTGACGCCGAGTAATTGCAGCACAGGGACCCGTAAAACAGAAAATGTTTTCTGTCCGTATCGTCACGGAAACACCACGTCATATTTCCGAAAGTGTTTTAAGAGTACCAGCGAAGGAGATATGCGCCGAGCGATAACAACATGACGTACAATTATTGCGTGGATGTGCGATTGATTTTGAACCGAGAAGACACATTCCACAGCAAAGATTTGTTCCCAAATCCCTCTCATAGCTCGATCGTGAAGGCATGCAAAGTAACGGGAGATTGGAATTTGGGTACGTGTATCCATCCAATCATAAATTCACAATGCCTATTCCACGACCACAAGTCAAATCATACGAATAATCGTGATGGAGTAGACCACGCTTGGCTCGCTTTGGTGGTGGTTGCCTTGTGATTTCAACATAATTGGAACCGAGTGAAACCACCCCAAATCGTGTCTCCGATCGCTCTAAGAATCATGAAACAGCATTACGATTAAATCAGATCAAGCAATCAGGCGATGGTTGGTGCGGTCGGATTGGGGTGGTTGGGACGGATCGCAGATCAAAAGCGCCTCCGAGAGGCTAATTGGCTACGGGGGCCACTTCGGTACGCCCCGCAAGGCTGGACTCTCGTCGTTACTCGCAGGCAGGTAGGCAGTTGAGACGGACAAATATTTCATCATTACTTGTTCATAGTATACATACGTAATACGATCCAATTTAATAATCGATCCGATTTGACGATATTGTGCCAAAAAAATCGATCCGTAATTATCGGAGATCACAGAGACGAGAGTCGAAAAAATCGATGCGTATGTACCGAGCGACGCATTTACGCGACACCTCTCCATTAAAGAAGTTGACTGGGAGGGCCTAATTTATTCTGGACTATTGTCTCGTACGCTTTGCCAGCTCAGCTTTCATATGATGTTGATGTCAAACATTGTAGCACACGTCATTAATGCATCAACCGCAACACCACCACCACCACCACCGAGTTCGAATCATCAATTAGATGGATCGATTGTAGTCCCTTATTGGAAACTTAATCATATCAATGGCCCTCGATTTGATGCTTTAAGATCTGTTCACAAAATCAAAAGATATATAAGGAGATGCTGGCACGACAGAATTAGGCCCACGGATCAACACATCAAGATTCGTGCCCATTAACCTGGGCCGGACTCACCCATTCAGCGTCATCCGAGTCGACTCGGCCGCAAAATTAACGTGCGGATGCATTGATGTCGCTTAGGATCACTTGAACCGGTCCGCATGGTTCTTGCCACCTAGTGTTCCTACCTGCTCCATCTTCCCCGCCGGCCGACCTTCGCGTCGATGGGAGGGCACGGAGTGGGTCTTTTCCGGACCCACCGGTTCTATCAGATTAAGTGGGGCCAAGAGAAGAGAACGGGTGACTTGTTTCTTTACCCGTTCCCGAACGTCACGTTTGTCGGGATCCAATACGTACAATATTAGAGTGTTCATTAAAATAACAGAGGTAAGAATAACTAGGGTTCCACCGACCCATCATCACGATACTGTTACCAGGAACTAGCGAGAGGAAAATGAAATCGCAACCCACCTCCTCACCCCTTCGATAGATCGAGAGCCGAGGGACTCTCCGCATCTCGCGAGGAGAGGCCGACCCCTTCGAATGCAGCCGGAGAAAGAACCCTAACTTACGATCCTCCTCCCGTTACCTCCTCGCTGTTTGCTTTCGATCACCCTCCGTCGTTTCGCGCCCGAATCGATGTTCTTGGGTTGCTTCGCGGCAGATCCCGCGCGGACCTGATCTGGGAATTCTCGGCTTCAATGGACGTATTTGACGAGTACTTCAAGCGGGCGGACTTGGATCGGGATGGGAAGATTAGCGGCCCTGAGGCGGTCGCGTTCTTCCAGGGGTCCAATTTGCCTAAGAACGTCTTAGCTCAGGTTGCCCCCGTTGCTATCTCTTTTCTGGATCTTTCGGTGTTTCTTGGCAGATTTTACCTGATTGTTTTGGTTGAAATTCAGACGAGGGTTTCGAATGGGTTGGATTTGTGGTGGGGATCTTGGTCCGTAGCTGCTTTTTTTAAATTCGGATCTTGTTCATGATTTCTTGCTTTCTTAGAATCTGCCTCTATTCTTCCGTCAAAGTCATTCCAGATGTGGCAATCTCAAACGATTCTAGAAAGTCATTGTTTTGGGTAGAAAATAGCTGAAAGTTTATCCAGTTCCCATAAATCTGCAAACTAGATGCCAAACCCAGATCTGAAACTATATGGCTACGATGACCGGAACGTTCGTTTGCCAAATCCAGAAAGTCATTTTACTTTTGCTCGACCATCAAAATTCACTTCTCCCATCAGATTTACTTTTCTCTTAACTGGTGATGTGAAACCTATATCGTTTATTTTATTTGGACTGCCTCGCGATTTAGCTTAGAGTAAGAAACTTCTTAACCATTGTATCGTTGCATTTAAATCTTTTTCTGTATAATTATGAGTTCCAAATTGTCTACCCATGCTATACTGATGCTGACATTCAAAACCTGAGAGAGGTGCACCAGCAATATTGTTTCGTATTTTTGTGATCTAAGCTTTATAACACTGTTTCTCGTCCGCATTTTTGAACAATTTTTCCACATTAGCAAGTCTGATATGCCTGCCTTTTGTCTTTCTGTCAAATCCTATCTGTGAGGTCGACTTTGCTTTGAAATGAAATGGTTCTATTAGTTAAGAATTTTTATGTAGGATTTCTTTTTTTTGATTTCATGTGTTCGGTACTTGGTAGTTCTCTTCTCCTCTTTGCTTTCGAAATTTACTTTTTGTTCATGTTCATGTTTGTCAACAAAGTTGGAGTTTCTTAAGTTGAAGGTTGATAAAGCTATTGATGACTGAGATTTTCTTGAATCAATCTTGTTCTTCTTGGTCGCTGCTTGTCTGATTGTTATTGCTTTCTTTCCTTCTCATCTTTTTGCTAATTACCAATGCCATTTCTGGCGTTTTTATTCCTATAACCATATTGTTTCAACTTTGAAGAAAGTTTTGCCTTGCTGTTAGGTGCCTAGTACAATCATACTCCTTTCTCCTATTTGTGCCTGGTTTTGGGAAGGGTATGACACAATAGGTAGAACAATTTACGATGAGCTCACAATGGAATAACTAGGAAGGTTACAATACAAGATGATGGTCTTTCTGATAAGTTGATGAGTGGAACCAATTGAGGTTAATATGGTGGAAATTGGATTAATATGCCTTACCCTTTCAAGTTTATCTAGATTTTATAAGAGCCTATAAGAAGAGGATGCTAAGCTTGCTGCACGAATCAATGATCGTTTGAACTATTCAAACAAACCAACACAACCACAACAACGAGCAATAATGTCTTAACCATTTGTAGTCAGCGACATGGATGTCTTATGGCCATTAAGTTTTGGATAAACCAATGTCATTAGTTAGTCAGGAGTATTCAAATCTGATATGGTCACATATCCAAGAAAAAGTTCTATCCATGGATGGATTGCCATCTCATACCAACCATGCGTACCGATCCTGTCCTAGCCGAATCGGTATGTGCCAACACATGGTACATGAAGAGGAAGAAGAAGGATAAGAGGAAGGAATAGATGGCAGTGTAGGAAAAGGGGAGGAAGGAGTAGGGAGGAAGAAAGAGGAACGAAGAAGAGGATGCAATGAAGGAAGAGAAAGGAGGAAGAGGAAGTGGTGAGAGGAGGAGAAAGGGGAGGTAGAATACCTGAGATCAATGGGCGAGTGACAACAACAGCTTGTGGGCTCTGTGTGTACGGGGAAGATGACTCGTTTTTTAGGGCTTGCAAAAGTGAGCACTCAACCATATAGGTGAAATAATTTTCTTCTTTTTTTTTTCTAATAGTTGGTCCGACTGGACTGCTTGAAATGGGGTGGTCCATATATTGGGTCATGTTCGCTGGTACATACCACTAATTTCATATTGAAATATGAATCAATGAGATAGATGCTTGTGGAGGAAGAAGAAGAAAGAATAAAAAGGAAGAAGAGGAGACAATTGTCACGCACTTAGCTGGTTTTGCCTAAGTCGTGCGGCACCCTTGCGTGTCTGTCCGCAAAGGTCAGCCTCACCGAAATCTCCTATGGTCCTTTAGGACCTACAAAAGAGAAAACAGGTTAGAGAAAGCGTTTCACTCGGGATCCACAAGCAATCATTTTAGCAAACACTTGATAGCTAATGCAAATTACAAACAGACTTCACAAGTTCTGAACGGTCACAAAACAAAAGGTCCAAAATGCTCGCTATAGACCGAAATCCTCATAAGTGCCCACATGACACAACCTTTGTTTGCAAGCCTAAGACGACTATCAAAACCAAAGAAAAATAGGGCTGCTAAGCCTACTGTCAGCCCTTTACATGCTGTGCAAAGCATGAACAAAACTGAAAGACACGGACATACATGACATTACATCAAACACTCCCGTTTACAGTTTTGTTCGTGACATTCTCTCCCACTTATTCCTTGTCATCCTCGTCGAAGCCTTTGCAAACGCTGTATCTCCTCGCCTTTGCTGAGTTTTTAATTTTCTGCTCCAGTTGCAATGCGCCTCTTGACTCCTAGCTGGACTCCGTCGTTGTTATTGAGTAGTCGAACTTTAATCTGCCATGCTGCTTCAACTCGCTAATGACTCTGACTCTGGTGTGGGGTCGACTGAGTTGTGCTGATCCTGGTTGTTTTCTGCGGATCTCTCAGATGAAGAAAAAGACCATCCTTGGTATGCGCTAGTCTCTCAAATGCCTTATGCCGCTTGAACTAGGCGGATGCTTGTTGGAGCTTTAACGAGCATCGTCTCACAGACTTTAAAGTTTTTGGGTCCTTCCTCCGTAAAATTTGCCCATTGATTCTTCTTCCACTTAGTCGTTACTTCCAAGTAGGTTCGCATCACTTCTACTTTCGATTGACATTCTGTTAGGAAATGAAGCGGATAATCTACTTTCAGTATCACCGATCACTATTGGTGAGGGTTTGACAACTATTGTCTTCCACTAGGTTTCGTCGAAGGGTCTTTAAATCTGTGTAGAGCTCCTCTACTGGATAGATAAGAGAATTTGGGTACTCGGTTTCGTCCATTCTCTTAAGAGTTGAGAAGACAAAGGTTACTTGACTTCACCCGTGTTAGGACTCTAGCTTGGAGAGTCCTAATTGAGAGGGACATTCATGTAAAAATGTTAGGACTCTAGCTAGGAGAGTCCTAATTGAGAGGGGCATTCATGTAGGAGGTGTTTTCTTAGAGAAGAATTAGGAGTTGTAAGGGAATAGGAGTCTTGACTAGGAGTCCTACTAGGAGTTGGTTAGAAGTAAGAGTCTTAAGTAGGAGTCCTATTAGGAGTTAGGGTTTAGAAGCCCTATAAATAGCCATGTATTCCTTCTCTTTTCATAAGCAATAGATGAATCTTTTCTACAGCCTTTGAGCAGCAACTTGGAGGAAGGAACCCCTATAGAGTTCCAAGGAGGCCGATCCCCTAAAGAGATCAACCCCAAGTTTAGAATCTGCAAGGGTTCTAACACCTGTTATCAGAGCAGCGTTCTTGGCATCTCGCTGCCCTTCCACTGCCATCCATCAGCCCTCCACAACCGCCCAAAGCAATTCCCATAATTGCTTAAAAGATTGTCGTCGAATTCCGCCATCATCTCCACCACCGCGGATCATCCTTTGATCTCTCCGTGAATTGCAACAGGTTCTGGTTTCCTACCTTACTGCTGCTGCAATTTAGTTATCCTTATTCGAAAATCCAAAAAAAAAAACTAGTTCCTATATTGCTGCATAAACCTTTCATCACAAAGTTTTCATCTCTACGACGAAAGATACATTGCAGAATTCCAGCCG